TTTTTTAAGAATTATTTCCTTGCTTACCCCTTAGAAGGTGTTTACCTCCAAGGTTGTTTAGCACCAAGCAGAAGAGTAGAGGAGTAAGAATATGCGTGCAAGACATGAGAAAAAAAAAAGGCAAGACAAAGGCAGAATACAAAGATTGTTTTAAGAACAAGATGTATGGAAAGCTTTATTTAAATCCCATGGTAAAACAAAGCTAGATTACTCAGTTTGGTGAAGAGGAAGGAAAAGTTCTAGGTATACAAATCCTGAATCTTGTCATAAACGAAATCATAGATTATAAGTAAACGCCATAAGACAGACGTAAGTCTGTCTTGCCAAATATAAACTAAATGCTATCAAATGACATCTAAAGTGTCACTCCTTAAAAAAATATTAAGCCTGCCTTATTCAGCAACTGCCTGAAGTACCTGTACAATGTATCTGAATTTTAGAAGTGTGTTTGCTTAAATGGCATTTAGGCTCAGAGGACTTGTTCCTATTTACAACTGGTGCCGCAAAAGCAAGGGACCCACATTCCTTGTTAGTTCCCAAGTTGAGAGCAATGACTTTTGGGATGTGACTTCCCAGTGTGGCACTAAGGCCGATATGTCCCACTTCACAACCTCAAGCCTTTTACAGAGGCCTGGCTAAGAACAACAGCATGCTCTGGGGTGGGAGAGCACAGCTGCTCTGAGTCAAGCTCCCAGGCTCACTCTGGGCTCCAACCTACCCCAAGGCCAACACTACAGTTGCCTGGGGTGAGCCATCCCACAAGAGGCCTACTCCCTCTGGGAATGGTTCAGTCATCTTTAAGAAACACCCTCACATAGACATCACACTGGGAAGTGCAGCACAGACAGTATATGAAAGAGGAAACACCCAAGAACCTTCCAACGCTGAGGAGAATCCTGGAATTTACCAGACTATGGGCCAGGGGGAAGGCGTATCTCGTGAGGATCTCAAACATGTCTCTTCTGCTGTGGCCTTCTTGTTTCAATGCGAACCTCAGGTTTCTCATGTCCTATGGGGCAGGAAATTTGACAGATCAGACTTCAAATAAAGTCATATTTGTTAGCCAAAAATTTATTCAACAAAGTAGTAGAAAGACTCACTTACCTAAAAGGGCAATTCATCTAGATTACAAAGAAAATTACTTTACTTTGTATGATATTTTGAAATATCCAGTTTAAGAACCCATGAAAATATTCCTACTGTAATCATGAATGTAGAAACAAAGCAACTAGTGCTAAAGAGAAGACAGAGCTAAAATTTTTAATTACAAAACTGTATTTTATTCATAGAACTTTTCAAATGTATATCTGCTAGCAAATGTAATCTCAAAATTGTCAAACATGTCATTAAAATACAGAAGCTTTTCCCTTTACACCTGTTTTTAAAGTCTTATTTTTAAAATTAGGAAATGATTGGCATTTTAAGCTCTCATACAAGTAATGTAATACACTTTTACTACACAGTTTTACTTTCACAGAGTTCTATGTAACCAGAGTTCTATATTACTCCATGTTAGGAGTGGCTATGCTTCCAGGAACTAAAAATTAATGATCAAACCATATTTTAAGGATAGCTTCTATTACATATCTCTTTAATAAGCAGGAAACCCTTCCTTTAAACCAAATCTAAACAAAATAAGCTCCCATAAATATCAATTTGTATTATACATCAAAATAACATTCTATCTTATTTTCAAAGCTGGAGATTTTAGGTTGTCTCTTAAATCAATATTGTGTACTGCATGCACTTTCAATCAGAAATGAGCACCATGCTGGACCCTGGGGATACAGATACACATAAGACAGACAGATCCAGTCCCTTCCCTTTTGGATGTCACCAGCTTCACATTTTTCAAAGTGTTTTTTAATTTATTATCTCAAGAGCACTCTTATAGCTTCCTAAGTCTTTGATGTGAAGGACCAGCAAAGGCCTTGCCATATATAACCCAAAATGCAAATGGCAGCAAAGGAAGTATAAAGAACCAGACTCTAAGGCCTCTAATGAATGACCCAGGACCGATCATTCTGTATACAGATGGCATCTACTGGGCCTTGCCAGTTCCAAGATTCTGTGCTTTCATTTTTAAAAACACGTAACTGGATAAAATTCAAAAACTGATTTATGACATATTCCAAGAAAACTGGAATATTAGTTTTTGGCTCATGATGCCAAACACTAGTCAAACAGAAGGAAAAACTCATTTCAATAAGATGATACGCTTTTAAAGAATATGTCATGAGATACAAATATAACATAAGAAGTATCAGGGCTCAAAGAGCTGTGAGGAACTTTCTTCTGAACAGCCTTGGGCCAGATGATAACTCAGAAGCATCATTTTCTTAACCACTCAGCAAGAAACTAGACCATTTCTGGATAAATATTTATTCTGATCTATCAGTGATTCCAGCAACTACTTTCAATGTGCCAAAGCATAAGTAATTCAAGCAACTTATTTTTGCCATCTGATGCCAATGTAATTAAAGGTCAGAAAGAACTACTACCTCACCTTGCCAACAAGAAAACTGAAGTGGAAAAGGCAAATAACAAATAGGAGACAGATCACATTTGTAAGAGAAATATGAGCATAAACTATTAAGTTCTAGCTGCTCTCCTTAGAGTCTGCCTCATCAGGGAAGCACACCTGGAAAAGTGTCTTGTGACATAAGAGTCTCGTAGTTAGACCCTCAGCCTCTTTAACAACTGGGTCACATGGGGATGAGCCAAGCCTCACTTTAATAAATGAGTCCAAGTAAACACACCCTTGTTGCAACAACACTGGAGGGTTGATCTATTGAGGTATCATTTTTAGAATGTATTTCTAAAGAAATAACACCATCACTGCTGACTTCAAAATAGCACAGTGTTGCCTTGGCTTGTTTGGCTCAGTGATGAGGGCACTCGCCCACACACCGAAAGGCCAAGGGTGCAATTCCTGGTCAAGGGCACGTACCTGGGTGCAGGTTTGATCCCCAGCCCAGTCAGGGCACATGTGGGAGGCAACCAATCCATGTGTCCCTCTAACATCAATGTTTCTCTGTCTTTCTACCCACCCCCATCACCCTCACTCTCTCACTAAAAAAATCAATGGGAAAAAATATCCTCAGGTGAGCATTAACAACAACAACAAAGAAATAATAATAATAATAAATATTATTATTTTTTAATCCTCACCTGAGGATATTTTTCCCCCATTGCTTTTCAGAGATAGTAGAAGGGGGAGAGAGAGAAACATCAATGTGAGAGAGACACATCGATTGGTGGTCTCCTGCATGCACCCATCCAGGGCCAGGAATTGAGCCCGCAACCGAGGTACGTGCCCTTGGCCAGAATTGAACCTGGGACCCTTCAGTCTACAGGCCAATGCTCTAACCACTGAGCAAAACCAGCTAGGGCAAATAGCAGTGTCTTTAAACTGAGTAAACGGGAGTGAAGTGTGCAAGAAGACAGAAAG